GAAGACCAAAGAGCTGTCGAAGGACACCAGAAACAAAATTGTAGACCTGCACCAGGCTGGGAAGACTGAATCTGCAATAGGCAAGCAGCTTGGTGTGAACAAATCAACTGTTGGAGCAATAATTAGAAAATGGAAGACATACAAGACCACTGATAATCTCCCTTGATCTGGGGCTATTTATTCGAAGGCAACTCGATACTCTTACCCCTTTACAAAACATTGGTTGGGCCGCATCTGGAGGATACGGTTCAGTTTTGGTCCCCAATTAATAGAAGGGATGTCCAAGAATTGGAAAGGATCCAGCAAAGGGCAATAAGGTTAATTAGGGGTCCATAGGACCTCAGCTATGAGTAATGACTAAGTAATGCCTTACAGAGGCAGGCAACTCCGGCCCTTCAGCTGTTGTGGAACTACAAGTTCCATGAGGCATTGCCACAGGCATGACTCCAAGAGGCAGAGGGATCCTGGGATTAGTAGTTTCTTTGCAGCTGGAGGGCTGAAGTTGCCCACTCCTGGCATAAGAGGATACATTATCACTATCTATAAATGAATCAATGGTGACTGTAAGGGTGGAAACAACTTGATTAATCTGAGGTCCCAGAAGGAGACGCATGGGCCCATTTTAAGGTTAGAGGAAAGGAGATTTAATCTGAAAAATTTTGGAGGGGGTTCTTTACAGTCAGAGCAGCTGAAAAGTGGAACTTCCTTCCCCATGCAGTGGTAACAGCTGGAAGCATGGACAAATTTCCAAAACCTTCTAGATGTCTTCTCGATGGGGACAACATACAGGAATATGTACTGTACACTCAGACTAGTTAAAACCAATCACCGGGCAAACAAAAAAGTACCCTTGCAGTGGGGCTACCCTACCCCTGAACTGCAAGGGTTAATGCTTGTTTTTTTTCTAGGGGCTGATCCACGTTCCCCTGGTGGTTGACACCCTCCTCTTCTCTGCTCCAACCGGTGGAATGTCCCTCGCCGTTCTCACATCTAAAGCAGGTTTATGGAATCTGCATTAGATGTGATGATGTCATCTGTCCTTAGACCACCAGAGCCCAGGGGAGACGGGGCTTCTGGGACCAGTCTAGCAGCTTGAAGGGAGCTGGGGGGGGGGATCATGTAAGTAAATCTACTTTACTCCAACCTCTATGCAAAGATGAGCACTGAACACTTACGGTATGGGGGTAGTGCCACTGCAATGGTTCTTCTTTTATTTGCCCAGACATGGGCTTTATCCTAATAAGACACACACATGGTATTGGACTGGATGGTTCTGGGTATTTTTCCAACCTTCTCTACTACAGTTTGTGCAGTAACTATGCCACTGCAATGGTTCTAATGAGGGTAGTGCCACTGCAATGGTTCCTCTTTTGTTTGCCTGGAGATGCGCTTTATCGTAATCAGACAAACACATGGTATTGGACTGGATGGTTCTGGGTCTTTTTCCAACCTTATCTACTACAGTATGTGCAGTAACTTTGCCATTGCAATGGTTCCTCTTTTGTTTACGTGAAGATGGGCTTTATCCTAATCAGACACACACATAGTATTGGACTGGATGGTTCTGGGTATTTTCCCAACCTTATCTACTACAGTATGTGGTGTAACTGTGCCACTACAATGGTTCTAATGAGTGTAGTGCCACTGCAATGGTTCCTCTTTTGTTTGCCCGCAGATGGACTTTATCCTAATCAGACACACACATGATATTGGACTGGATGGTTCTGGGTCTTTTTCCAACCTTATCTATTACAGTATGTGCAGTAACTATGCAGCTGGTCACATAAATGTTACAGGTACAAGATGTGAAAAGGTAAACTTGGGCTATAAGAAATGATCATTTGTAAAGCCCATTTTCCTGCGGTTCTCTGGATAGAGTGGGAATTTTTCAGCCGGGCGTCCTTAACTGTTTAACTGCCGAATAAATTAAATCCGAAAGAAATGCCCTCAGGGCTCTTTCAAAGCCTGAAATGAGACAGCCTGACTGACGGAAAAGCTTTACAAACGGGCAAAACAGAATCGTTCACAAACCTCCGCGCATTCGTAGAGTTGTTTTCAGAAAGGGCAATCTGAATAGTAGTGACTACAGAACAGAGTTTTTAATGGGATAGAGTCGGTTATTATATTGGGGGACATGCTTTACTAGCTATAATATTGAATTCTGCATTGAACAATTCATCACAAGCTGGCATTGTGGCCGAGCCAACAGCTGATTTATCCCTAGAACGCCTGATATTGAAAATACATTATCTTCCCAGCATCCAGCCAATAATATATATTCCCAAATTGTGCCTCTAGTGACACTGCTTTTCCCCAGGTCCCCCTACAAATGTACATACATAGATCAGCACATTCCTATTGCTAAGTATCTGTTTTCTACATTAGGCACAACATGCAGCTCTTGGCTATCACCATGTCATGTTTGAGATGTAAGTGTATAAACTCAAGTGCGTTCGGTTTATGATTGGCTATGTACTTTCTTGCGTCATTATGGTACTGGGTGGCTTCAGGGCAGGGAAGGACTAGTATAGGGGGCAAGAGGACATTTGCTCCTCAAGCCAGTATTAATAAGATGGCCTGTTGGTGAAGTATTTTTCACTCTGGGCCATCAGCCTATTTAGACCTCAATCACAACAGGACCTGCAGCAAGTGACACATTCTGGGCATTATATAGCTACCTTGTTCTTAAAGTCTTCCAGCATCAACCCCTTTAGAGCTCTAAGATGTCATGTGACCAGATGGCGAGAATTGCAAAGGAAGCTGATGCTGGAAAAATTGTTCTCCAATGTGAAGGTGTGTCACAACAAACCATGTCTTTTAGGAAGGCTCAACTTTTGCCATGTCCACCAGTCAATGAGGCACTATGGAACACCATGGAAGTGGAAGCTGGAAAACTGGTTCTCTAAGACAAAGGTTCCTATTTCCCCATGCTTCAGGGTCATAAATATGTGGAAGTTGTGAAGGTTTGTCACAACAAATCATGTCTTTTAGGAAGGCTCAACTTTTGCCATGTCCACCAATCAATGAGGCACCATGGAACACCATGGAGGCTGATGCTGGAAAATTGGTTCTCCAGGCCAAAGGTTCCTAGTCCCCACCCCCTCCATACTTCAGGGTCATAAATAGGAAAATGTGAGGGTGTGTCACAACAAACCATGTCTTTTAGGAAGTCTCAACTTTCACCATGTCCACCACTCAATGAGGCACCATGGAACAACATGGAAGTGGAAGCTGGAAAACTGGTTCTCCAAGACAAAGGTTCCTAGTCCTCCCATGCTTCAGGGTCATAAATATGTGGAAGTTGTGAACGTGTGTCACAACAAACCATGTCCTTTAAGAAGGCTCAACTTTTACCATGTCCACCATTCAATGAGACACCATGGAACACTTCACATGCTACATATTTTGTATTTCACAGAAATCTGTCCCTAACATTAAAGGGCCCCCCATTCTCAAGGTTCCTAGTTCCCCCAGGGTCATAAATATATGAGTTTTCTGATCTCCACTTGTGTTATAAAATGTAATATATCAGAATTAATAGCTACACAAGCCGTTTTGTAATTTAACGTTATGAAAATGATTCCTTCTGCTGCAATCTGCAATTTCCAAAACTGTCAAAAAATGTGATTCAATATAGCACCATGGAGGCATTCTGTACACTCTCAGTGTACCCCACAAATGTTGTTTCCTACTTCTGTGATTGGCTCACTAATTTTCTCAGAAGTCTGCACCAGTCTGCATAAGGGACACATACCAATGCATGTTGACTCCCCACCGCCAATGCGCACTAACACATGCATGCCAACATGGTATGCATGTGTTAGTGCATGCATGCCAACATGGGCACGCAAATGCAGGGCCGGATTAACATAGGGACTACTGCAGCACCAGCTCCAGGACCATCACTGAAAATAAGCCCGGCCAACCGAAGGCAATCCGGCCGGCTGGGCTGAACACAATCAGGCAGAGGCCCTGGCGGCTCTCATATCAGGCATATGAGGAGGCTGCTCATTGGGGCATCGCAGGGCCTCAAAGAGGAGTGAGTTGCCACCTAATTAGAGAGCTGCCTCTGCTGCTTCCTGTCCATCCTAATCCGGCCCTGTGCACATGACTATGCAACCATCCATAGCCATAAAGCTAGCAATTGGCATGTGCATGCAACACGATGCATGCGGACAGGACCGGCCATGCCGCTGGCAGTACAGAAGATACTAGCGGTACTGTAAAAGGAACCAAAGACTTTGTGAGCAGCATGGAACCTTCTAGTATATATGACACGGAGGCCGCAGCCACACCCAGGCGAGCAAGGAGGAAGTAGGGCAGTGGAAAAGCTTAATAAAAAGTATTTAAAAAAAAAAAAGGTAAAATACTCACATTTTTCTAATGGATAGGAAGAAAGGAATGCAACGAGCCAAGATGAAAAGTTCGGCTTTAACCACTCTTACCGTAAAGAATCCTTCTCTAGGAAGGACTTGGGGACTACAAGAACTGCAGAAATGACCAATAAGAAGTTTTAGTTCAGATCGCAATCCATATTTAACTCTTTCTTTCAACCGGAACCCCCTATGATCTAATTCCCAGCGTGACTGATGAAAATAAATCAGCATTCCAGTTTGCCGGAACCCATACCTTACCCATAATCCTCTCCTCCACCCGGGCAGGCGAGGCGTTTATTGCTTGTCCTTGCGCCGAAATGAAAACCGCTAATCATCTTCCCCTCAAACGCATTAAACTAATTTGTAGCGTGCCCGTGTAAATTATTTACTTTTCAGTCACATAATCATATTTCCGAAGCAGATAGAGTGAATTTATAAGCCGCGGCGTGGGAGAACTATCAATCACCGCTAAGCATCATTATTCATATACAGGACAGGAAAAAGAGAGATGGAGAGAGAGACCGCATCTGCGTCTCGTGAAAATCCCCTGAACAGGATCAGCAAACTGAGCCGGGGAAAAAAAAAAGGTTACTTCTTCCAGCAAAGTAATACAAAATGAGAAACCTTTGATATGCAGCAGGTTGAGGAGGCTCGTGTCAGCATCCAGCAGCAGGGTGCGGCCTCGCTCTACCGTGACGTTGTCGCCATCTAATGGCGGATGGCCAGAAGGCCAACTGGAATTCCGAGACCAAAGGCTGCAGAAGTGATAAGGTGCATCCTCTCCCTGAAAAGAGAACAAAGGGGACGTATTAAACACGGCGTGATCTTATAATATACGAGAAACATAAACAACAAAAACAATAAGAGAATGTAAACTTACTGAACTTGATACAATGTGCATACTCATATAGCATATACTGTTTCCATTTACATAGATTTCCATTGTGTGTATATTATATATATATATATATGTTAGAGAGATAACTAACAGTATACTTGTAATGAATAGCAATGAGCAAAACTGAGAGTTTTAATTTCCCTGAAACTTCTGCAAAAAATAGGAGACTTGAGCAAAATGTTGTCATTTTGGTGAAATACATTGGAGTTTATGGAAAAGACATAATTAAAGAGGTTTTTGGTGATCGCTGAACTCCAGAGTTCTGTGTATTCTTTTTGAATCTTGGTGAGCTTTGTGTATCACTCCAGATCTGAGCAGTAATCCAGTGTGAGACTTGGAGCTTCCTGTAATAAAGACCGGTCACTGCTGCTCCCTTTCCTTGTGCAGGGTGACTGGTCTTGTCTCCGCCCCCTCCTGTAATTTTCTACTACAGCTCTTCTCTGTGCACAGGCTATGTACACTGTACACTGTTACACTGATATCACTGTTACTCTTACAAGGTAATATCTTAGTTTGCAAAGGCATTCGGTGCACACAAAGTGGATTTATACCCTGTGTGACATATATTTGAATAAAAAATGTTGCACTATCTATCTATCTATCTATCTATCTATCTATCTATCTATCTCTCTCTCTCTCTCTCTCTCTCTCTCTCTCTATCTCTCGATCTATCTATCTCTGTCTGTCTGTCTGTCTGTCTGTCTATCTATCTATCTATCTATCTATCTATCTCTCTCTCTCTCTCTCTCTCTCTCTCTCTCTCTCTCTCTCTCTCTCTCTCTCTCTCTCTCTCTCTCTCTCTCTCTCTCTCTCTCTCTCTCTCTCTCTCTCTCTCTCTCTCTCTCTCTCTCTCTCTCTCTCTCTCTCTCTCTCTCTCTCTCTCTCTCTCTCTCTCTCTCTCTCTCTCTCTCTCTCTCTCTCTCTCTCTCTCTCTCTCTCTCTCTCTCTCTCTCTCTCTCTCTCTCTCTCTCTCTCTCTCTCTCTCTCTCTCTCTCTCTCTCTCTCTCTCTCTCTCTCTCTCTCTCTCTCTCTCTCTCTCTCTCTCTCTCTCTCTCTCTCTCTCTCTCTCTCTCTCTCTCTCTCTCTCTCTCTCTCTCTCTCTCTCTCTCTCTCTCTCTCTCTCTCTCTCTCTCTCTCTCTCTCTCTCTCTCTCTCTCTCTCTCTCTCTCTCTCTCTCTCTCTCTCTCTCTCTCTCTCTCTCTCTCTCTCTCTCTCTCTCTCTCTCTCTCTCTCTCTCTCTCTCTCTCTCTCTCTCTCTCTCTCTCTCTCTCTCTCTCTCTCTCTCTCTCTCTCTCTCTCTCTCTCTCTCTCTCTCTCTCTCTCTCTCTCTCTCTCTCTCTCTCTCTCTCTCTCTCTCTCTCTCTCTCTCTCTCTCTCTCTCTCTCTCTCTCTCTCTCTCTCTCTCTCTCTCTCTCTCTCTCTCTCTCTCTCTCTCTCTCTCTCTCTCTCTCTCTCTCTCTCTCTCTCTCTCTCTCTCTCTCTCTCTCTCTCTCTCTCTCTCTCTCTCTCTCTCTCTCTCTCTCTCTCTCTCTCTCTCTCTCTCTCTCTCTCTCTCTCTCTCTCTCTCTCTCTCTCTCTCTCTCTCTCTCTCTCTCTCTCTCTCTCTCTCTCTCTCTCTCTCTCTCTCTCTCTCTCTCTCTCTCTCTCTCTCTCTCTCTCTCTCTCTCTCTCTCTCTCTCTCTCTCTCTCTCTCTCTCTCTCTCTCTCTCTCTCTCTCTCTCTCTCTCTCTCTCTCTCTCTCTCTCTCTCTCTCTCTCTCTCTCTCTCTCTCTCTCTCTCTCTCTCTCTCTCTCTCTCTCTCTCTCTCTCTCTCTCTCTCTCTCTCTCTCTCTCTCTCTCTCTCTCTCTCTCTCTCTCTCTCTCTCTCTCTCTCTCTCTCTCTCTCTCTCTCTCTCTCTCTCTCTCTCTCTCTCTCTCTCTCTCTCTCTCTCTCTCTCTCTCTCTCTCTCTCTCTCTCTCTCTCTCTCTCTCTCTCTCTCTCTCTCTCTCTCTCTCTCTCTCTCTCTCTCTCTCTCTCTCTCTCTCTCTCTCTCTCTCTCTCTCTCTCTCTCTCTCTCTCTCTCTCTCTCTCTCTCTCTCTCTCTCTCTCTCTCTCTCTCTCTCTCTCTCTCTCTCTCTCTCTCTCTCTCTCTCTCTCTCTCTCTCTCTCTCTCTCTCTCTCTCTCTCTCTCTCTCTCTCTCTCTCTCTCTCTCTCTCTCTATCTCTCGATCTATCTATCTCTGTCTGTCTGTCTGTCTGTCTGTCTATCTATCTATCTATCTATCTATCTATCAATCATCTATCTAGTCTTCCATCATTGGTCCATTGATATAATCTGGGGTGCAGCAGGAACAATTGGTCCTTCACCTGATCTGTTTTCTGCTCTGACACTCACAAAGCTGCACTTTCTCTCCCACATTGACAGATTGTCATTTAGCCATCAAACAATAAGCGAGTGTTCGCGTTGGCGGCAGGTTATTGTTCCACGTGGCGGAATGCGGAGTCCATGTCCCCATATTAGAGACCCGTCACTTCAGACATTTCTTCTCTCTGATCACTTGTACGGGGAGAATCCTCTGTAACCCTTTCAGTTCCATCATCTGACGGGGGACCCGAAGCCGATGGAAAAAGAAGTAATCTTTTTCACTTTTATATCACAAAACTCCAAAGATTTCTTTTATTTCCCCCCTTTTTTTTTTGCCATCTGCCTGTAATTATTCCTAATGCTCGGCCACCATCTTCCTACAACAATGGAAATAATTACGTCCTGGAGGGCAGATAAGAAAGATACACGGATAAACAAAAGTTAATTACATTTTGCTCAGGGAAACAAGCAACTTTCCTAATAAAGAAGCAATTAGGGAGGGAGACGCATCACTTATCATTAAAAAAAAATGAGATTTTTTCCGTCCTGCGTTCGCTTTTAGCGCATTTCAATATAGTCGCCACAGGTAGCGGCTTGTCGTGTAAAATGATCTAAATGCAAGGTACGGCCTATCACACCTGTAATATATGTATACATTGTATCTCATAAGACTTCCCTGGATCTTTGTGATCCTGTATGACAGAGGAGCTTACCACCCATCATTAAATATATAGACTGCGTATTGCGTTATGATTGGCTGCTGACCATTTCCCCTCCCCCACATGAGGTATGCCGAGGGCAATGGTAACCCAGAATGTGGGTGGTCAGAGCGTGATAATGTTTCCCACTTCAACCATTGATTTCAATCATCAAATGGATCCTGACCTCCCAGGAGGTGATAATGAGCCCATCTGGCAGTTGGAGGTACTCATTAAAACAGCGTGCTCAGGCAACTATCTTCCGGACCATTACTATAAATGCCAGTCCATGCCATCAGAAGCCAGCTTATCTCAAACACCCAGGCAAGCCAAATGTCTATTGACTAATCAGAAATGAACATTTGTAAGAATATGAATTTCTTCACTTAATAATAGTGCAGCCTTATGGATAGCTGTGTTTGTTGTTATGTGCTTGTATTTTCTCCCTGTCAGAGAAGAAATGGCGGCCCTGTGTCAAGCTGTAAGGACCCTATACAGGACCTGTCTTATGTCTAAGCTCAGGGCTGATAAATGACTGTCAGTTTGGGCTGCTGGAGGAATGTAACAGTAATCAATAAATATAGACAACATGACAACAACTTTGTTATAATGCATATATACATACAACATATGACTATATTTTTTGAGTGTCTACTATCAGCAAATAGCTCAGTCAGTGGGCAGAGGTCTTATACTTGTGCTTGAACAGGGAGAGAATACAATACATTTTTTTTAAAAATCAAGTCATCTCGGAGAAGTAAGGGTGTAGTATTATAAACATTCAAGTAAGAATATGAATTTCCTTGCTTAGGTTGCAATAATAGTGCAGCCTTAGGGATGGTTGTGTTTGCTGTAATTTATTTGTATTTCCTCCCTGTTAGAGAAGAAATGGCGGCCCTGTGTCAGGCTGAAAGTTCCCAAAGGCGGGACTAGGGTTGCCACCTGTCCAGGATTCACCCGGACAGTCTGGGTTTTGAATGCTGTGTCCGGGTTTCATGGCAGCTGAAACCCGGACACAAGATGTCAGGCAGACGGGGGCAACCAAAATTAAGATAGGGGCTACTGCGCCCCCCACTGAAAATAGTCCCGACTGTGATATTTACATATGAATGGGCGGAGCTATTTACATATGCATAAGCCACAATTCATTCTCCCTCAAACAATTTCCGTGCGTCGCTAGAGTGTTCGGGTTTCGCTGGAAGAAAAGGTGGCAACCCTAGGCGGGACCTGTCTCCTGTCTAAGTTCAGGGCTGATAACTGGCACACTGTTTGGGCTGCTGGAGGAATGTAACAGTAATCAATGAACAAAGACTTTGCTGACAACACCTATGTTATAATATGTATATACACTATATTGCCAAAAGTATTGGGACGCCTTTACACGCACATGAACTTTAATGACATCCCAGTCTTAGTCCGTAGGGTTCAGTATTGGGTTGGCTCCGCCCTTTACCGCTATAACAGCTTCAACTCTTCTGGGAAGGCGTCCACAAGGTTTAGGAGTGTGTCTATGGGAATGTTTGACCATTTGTGAGGTCAGGTACTGATGTTGGAGGAGAAGGCTGGGCTTGCAGTCTCCACTCTAATTCATCCCAAAGGTTTTCTATGGGGTTGAGGTCAGAACTCTGTGCAGGCCAGTCAAGTTCCTCCACCCCAAACTCCCCCATCCATGTCTTTATGGACCTTGCTTTGTGCACTGGTGCGCAGTCATGTTGGAACGGGAAGGGGCCGTCCCCAAACTGTTCCCATAAAGTTGGGAGCATGAAATTGTCCAAAATGTCTTGGTATGCTGATGCCTTAAGCACTAACTAAGGGGTCAAGCCCAACCCCTGAAAAACAACCC